TGCTATAAAAGATGGAGGCTGTGAAGTGTTGGAAAATCAATCTTTAAGTTACACAGAATATGCTGTGGAGCTCACGAAATAGAACCATGGCAAAGAAATGATCTCAGTATTTAAAAATAGTCACTAAGGCAGGAGAGTAAAATATTTTCTCTCTAAGAGAATGGGGCTAGATCAAAGTTAAAAATCATGCTTTATCGTTTTCTTCTTCAGTTAATGCCTCACCAAGCTGGCACATTCTTGACCAGATTCAATGTACAGAGAAGTCCCTTGCAAGTCACACTTCAATGACAGGAAGTACAAAAGAGTAAGAATTCAGGAAATGGAGGAAATAGTATCCAAAAAAACAAACAAACAAAAACCATGAAATGTTTCTCCTCCTTTTATGCCCGTTCCACAGCTATTTTCAGCTTGTCTTCTCTTACTTCTCTTTCATTGATGAGTCAGTGGCAGAAAATCAGACCTAGCACAATGTGTCTGTGCCTCTGGAGCTTGTTAATAGGACACTTTTCTGTCCCAGATACCAAGACTTACATCAGGATAACAGTCATTGCAGTTACTATGAATGTGAAAGATAGCTCCATTGTCAATCAAGTGAAGTTAAACTCTTCAGAATTAAATTAGTATAAGGTTACATTAAACTCCATCTCACCAATATTTCAAATGTTTAAATATAGTTCACTTTGTGAGTTACTACAGAAAGATAAAAGGAAAAAAAAAAAGGCAAATGAGGTGGTGGTAAGAATCCTTGGAAGGACAGCTTGACCGCTGAGTTTATCATGCTTTTGAACTGACCTGCACTGGAGATTTACCATCCGTTGTTTTATGCATCTTTACACATGAAACACTTGGAGTCTACCTTCTGACAAGATTCGCTGGTCATAGCACGCCGTGGGGCTTTCGGAGGAGAAAATGAGCTCTGGACCACTGAAAGGTGTTGTTCACCCTGAATAGGAAGTCCAGATCCCAGGACTGGGTGGGGATGGAGACCTCAGCCCCAAGCTGTACTAGGCCCTGACCCCAGAGTCACTATCCCAGGCTGAAGCGCTGCCATAACACTCACTCTACGAGTGTCAGCCACCGAGCCAGCAACGGTCCTCAAGGCAACCACTTCTTTATTCATCCAGTGTCTGACTTATATTGGAAATCTGATAGCCCAAGAGGAGAAGACTGGGGTCTTCCTGTGGGGTGCCTCTTCCCCTTTCCAGAGGGGCCACATTCAGAAAGGGGATTTAAGGAGGACTTTTTACCTATATGGCTGCTGACAGGTTGATTTTAGGTCCTTATTCCACAACTGAAGAATTTCAAGAACATATGTAGTAATTTAAAACCCTATAGGATGATCCAAATAATAACATGGTGCAGAATTTTTAATAAAAGATTAAATACACTGCTGAGGGGAGCAGTAGGCGGGTCAGGAGAGGTCTGCTACGCCATGTGGATCACCTCCAGGGCAGGCGGGGATTGAACTCATGTGGAAGTGTCTTTAGCTTCTTAGTGCTGTGCTTTAACACGGGGCGCCACCAGGAGGGCCCCCACAGTGGTTTTTAATCTTCCATTCAACATCACTGATTCAATCGGGATCTTTTACACTCTCTAGGTATGTAAGTAGTATTATAGAGACCTGAAAATGGTTTTGAAGATGAGTAAATATATTTACTGTTGATTATATAATGTGTATGTTTTCTGGAAATGATTCAAGCAATTTAAAAGTGAAACAGGAGTATTTTTTGTTGGCAATATGGCTAGAGATGTTTATTGTAAATGATTCAGATGACATAGAAATATAGAAAGTAGGGCCCTCCCTGGTGGCGCAGCGGGTTAAAGCACTGCACTAAGAAGCTTAAGGCCACTGCCCTCCTGCCCTGGAGGAGATCCACATGGCGTGGCAGACCTCTCCTGACCCGCCCGCTGCTCCCCTCAGCAGTGTACTTCATCAATCTGCCTGTTCTGCTCCCCACTTTGTCTCTGGTGAATCCTCTCCCCTCCGCATCTCTGGCCTGTTCCCTGGTTCTGTATAAATAAATAAATCTTTAAAAAAAAATTTAAGAAATGTAGAAAGTAGAAATGGTCTTTCCTTAGCAGTTGCCATGGTTAGCTATAAATTTGTTTCTGATCTGGGGAAATTTAAGGAATAGAGTTTTCAGTGAGAATGTAGTCTCATATTAGATTACATTTGTTCTCTCTGCAAAACACGAAGTGTAAACTGTAGCAAACCCATTGTGATGAAAACATACAAGGCTACAATAGATATCAGTAAAATTGAATTATTTAAGTTTCCTAGATATGTTCATTTATGTTGTCCTTCTAGGATTTTATGTCATTGTAAGTAAAGATCTTTGGTGAATTTCTCCACTTACAGTATTACTATGCTGGGTGTTTATGAAATCATTATATATATTTGGTAGCTTAAGGGGTCTTTTTTTTCCTCCTAAGAACAGAGTGCTGTTTAATTTTTTTTTTTGATTGAGCTGAATTTGTTAATGTAACTCCTGGGAAGGTACCTTGTATTTCTCAAAACTCCGTTATTGTTATGCCTGAGACAGGGTCTAACCTTTGGATGTACTGTGCTAATATAATTGCCTTGCTGACTTTTAAAGGTGGCTTTTAATTAGGTTACCAGACAGCAGCTGCCATTGAGGTGCAGACTACAGCTTTTTGATGGCTTGGGCCGGTTTATTAAGTATTTCCTCTCCCTGACCTGGAACCAGGGCTTGGATGGTAGCTAGCAGCTACTAAAATGCCAGCACTTATAGGATCACCCTTCAAGCCATTGATTGGTTATTTTATTAAGTTTCAACTCTTTTCCTCGGAAATTTTAAGGGAGCTTGCTTTATTGAATACAGTGCCTAACTCAATTCTTTCACTCTCAGTGGCCTCTTCATCACGTTATTTTCCCATAGTTTATAACACTTAGTCTTCTGTCTGGACAGAGGTTTAAGAACAAAAGACAGCTTGTCCTTGATGGGCTTAGGACTGTCCATGTGCAAGTGGGGTGGATTATTTCTGAGGCATGACCCAGACTCCTTCATTGGTTGATGATTTTTGTACAGGTAACTGAAAATCTCTTAGCTAGGCTTTTTTTTTCTTTTTGGTAATGTTGTGCTGAAAATTATTATTATCATTTTAAAATTTTATAACAGTTTATTTTTACATCATTTTGTACATTTTTTTCCCATCTCAATTGTAATCCCCGCAGGTTTCCCATCACCATGTCACCCGTGTGCCATCACCAAAATTCCGTGCACTTCCCTCCCTCCTCCCCCCCATTTTTGATCCCATTCCCCACTCCACCCCTGCAAAATTTCTCTGGTATATGGTTGTTCATTATTTTTGTTATTTTCTTGCCTGGTCCATTATAATCCTGCTATGAGTGAAACTATCCAGTATTTTTCTTTCTCTTTCTGGCTTATCTCACTAAGCATGATCTTTTCCAGCTCCATCCAAGTTGCTGCAAAAGACATGTGTGTTTCTCTTTTTTGGTTGCTGAGTAATATTCCCTTGTGTATATGCACCACATCTTTTTAATCCAGTCATCTACTTTTGGACATTTGGGCTGCTTCCATGTTTTTCCAATTGTAAATAAAGCAGCAATAAACATGGGGGTGCAGGTATCTTTTTCAATCAGTGTTTTTGTGTCTTTTGGGTAGATACCTAGGGGTGGTATTACTGGGTGTAGGGAAGCTCCATGTTTAGCAGTTTGAGGAACCTCCAGTGCTGAAAATTATTTTCAGAAAATTTTAGCAAAGTACCATTGCTTTACATCTTTCTCTCCGACCACCAAAGTACCCATAGTCCTCTGCTATAGTCAGTCCATTGTGCTTCTGCCCCTCCCCCATTCTTATCTCCAGGATTATTGCCAGAAGATTTTATATTTGCTTAAGAAAATGAATGTGTAACTGCCACAGTGAATAAACAGAAGGTTTTTTTTGGGGGGGTGGTTGGTGATGTGAGGTGTTTCTCCCTTGTTATTGTTCCAAGTTGTTTTACTATTTTGGCTCTTTGTTATTCTACATAGATTTTAGAATTTTGGAAAATTCTACCAAACCACCTATAGTAATTTTATTGCATACACTGAAATTATAGATAAATTTACTTAAGAGATTCATTTTTATATTGAAGTAACATCAGTTTACAATGTTATTAGAGGGGACTAGAAGTAAAGTCTCTTTCCCTGGTGTGTATTCTCACACCACACCCACCATCAAAATGCCATAATCCTCCACCACAGCCCATTGGGCTCCTTCGTTGTTTTGTTCTCTTCCTTCCCTTTGGTAGTCTCATTGCTACTTTTTAGATGTAATAAACAGATTTAATCTTAAGTTGTTCATTTTTCTTTGCCATTAAAAATGTGCTTTCAAATTAAGTTTTGTGCTTGTTGATGTATTGAAGTGCAATAAATGTTTATTTATTGACTTTATGTCCAAAGGCTTATCGCTCATTCTTAATCTAATAATTTCCCATGAACTTTTAATATAGATAATTATATCACTTGGGAAAATAATTTTCCCTTGCTTTTCATTATGTGTGCCTTTTTTCTTAATATTTCTTTGTTTCCCTGAAGATAGAATTAGTAAATAGATGTTGTGATAATTGCCATCTTTTAAAATTTCTTATTTTAGAGTGGTTGCTTCTAATAGCTCATCCATCATTTGGTAAAATGTTCACAGTAAATTTTTGGTAAATAGCCTTTTTGTTTTTGGTTCACAAATTTCACTTTCAAGCTTGCAAGGAATTTCAATCATGTGTTTGTATAGAATTTTATCAGATAACTTTTCCATATCCAATGAGATGGTATGTGTTGAATTTTATTGAGGGGTGTTAAGATGCAACCTATGTATCTTCTAGATGCAAAGTTAGTGACAATTTGATGAGAGTTATGTCTTGAAATAGGATTTATGTAATGCTATGTGTTTTGTAACCATAAGCCCTTGTAAGGAAGTATCATGTTATATTCTCATGCTTGAAAAATAAAACTCGGTTTTATTTTTTTCCCTTTCTAGTATTACTTTACTGTTCTGTTTGGCCATGAGGGTCAGAAACCACTGGAGCTACGTTGTGAGGAGGAGCAGGATGGTAAAGAGTGGATGGAGGCCATTCACCAAGCCAGGTATGGGTTTAAATCCCCTCGTGACACTTAGAACACTAAGTAGTTCTTGCCTGTGGTATACTTTCGGAAGAACTTATAATTTCAGAAGTTTCTCCTTGTCATTGCCCTCTTAGTCACATATAAAATGATTCTTTGAGCTTTCTCTGACTATATTCTAACTTAAGATTAAAGGTAGTAGAACAGTAATAGTGATAATAGATCATTTTGTAGATTTGTTCCTCTATGGCCCCAAACACTGTTCTAAGTGCTTTTCAATTAAGATATTTATTAGATGCATTGATATACTTACTCTCTCAGTAATCTGAAAGAGGAAATAATAATGGCACTCTTACAAATAAGGACATGGAAGCCTGAAGGGGAGTTTGCCTGCCTGAGGTCATATAACTAGTGAGTTGCAGAGCTGGGATATGGACCAAGGCCAGCCCCATATTTGCAAACTTTACCTAGTGTAGCCTGGTTATAAGAAGATGACACCAAACTCTATTAAGAAAATAGAGGTGTGTGGTTTTGCCTCCTAAAACATAAGAAAAAATCAGGGAGGTGGAAAGAAGCATACTTATCCTGAAATGGAAATAAGAACTCCAAAAAAGATACAGGCAGATCTTTCTCTTTATTTTTCATACCTAGATCTGAAGTCCACTTTATATTTTGCTTTAAAAAAAGACTCTATGCTCACTGTTTTCAACCTTCCCCGCTCTACTCAGGTTTTTGTCACGCCCAACTCCTTATTCATATCTCTCAGCTTCTGGTGTTATAGTAAGAAAAGCTCCAGCCAGTGCTCATTTTCTTTTTCTTCACCTGATATGTCACTCTGATATGTCCACCCTTGTTTCTATGTTTCCTCCCCTGAATTTTTCCCTTACAAGTTAGCTCTCACTGGTCTCTTCTCCAACTTGCTACAGTACTTGCATTCCTGCATGTGGAATGTTTAACAATTTAATGCTATCTAGGTAATTTCTTTATGTAGCATGTGTGATTTCTGTTTATTCAACTGGACTTCTGTGCCTTGAAACTGAAGAGGAGAATGAATGGACAATGTGTGGTAGGTGATGAGTCAATATTTCCAGGTGGACTCTAAAGAGATAGAGGCATTTGTTCTGAATGAGTTTAGAGTTTTCATGAAGTCTTGTTCTCTGAAACTTTCCTCCCTTCTTTTTTCTCAGCTATTTTGTATTGGCTGCCTCTTCTTTGGTAGGTGCATGCTAAATGCTTTATGTACTTATCCCAACCCATTTTGGATGGGAAAACAAAGGCCCATTGCTAGTAATCAGATTGGTCAGGCCTCTAACACTGAGTATTTAAGCTGAAGATCTGGCATTGAAGATCTAGGGTTGAAATCTAGGTGAATCTGAATCCACATGTTAACTACTTCTCTACCTTATACATCTCTTCATTATCTTTTCTTTTTCTCTTCATAATTTCTCTTTTATATTTCCTTTTCTCTTATTTTATTAAAAGTGAGCCCAGAATTGAAAGTTAAAGATATTTGTTGCAATCCATTTAGTTCCTTTTCTTTTCACCCTTCCATTCTCTAAATGTACATTCTCTGTGGGCTCTAGGGACAGTTTGCAGATATCATGATTCAAGCACACTGTTCAGCTGTTTTTGTTCTTGGAGCTGTCTGTTGAGGACTTGTTCATACTTAGTGCTCATGTAGAGTAATTTGCTGTAGGAAGGTCAGGTCCTCAAAGGGCGAAAGAAATATCAAGTTGGCAAGGTAGAGCCTTTGGGTCATTTCCAGCACAATCTTTGTGACCATTTCTACCTGGGGGTTAAAATGAAGTAATTGAAGCATGTATATTTGCCTGCCTTTTACATTCCAGAAGAGCCAGATACAATTAGTAAGAAAGCAAATATCTTGCTCAAACATATACAGAATGTGAATTACTTTAAAAATAGTTATGTTTCCAATAAGAGATATTTTTTGGCAGTAGCAAGTCCTCATGTATCAGTAATCACCCTTAATGTAAATGGACTGAACTCTCTAATCAAAAGGCACAGAGTAGTCTGATGGGTTAAAATGCAAAACCCAACTATGTGCTCCTCATAAGAGAATCACTTAAGCTATAAAGACAAACATAGACTTAAAATGAAAGGATGGAAATTGGTACTCCAAGCCAATCAAAAATTTAAAAGGCAGGGACCATTTATATTAGATAAATAGACTTCCACAGAAACAGATAGCAAGAGCCAAAGCTGGACATTATAAGATGATAAAAGGATCAATACAGCAGGAAGACAATAATCAATATGTATGTGCCCAACATAGCAGCATTGTAGCAAACATTAACAGACTTAAAGGGGACATTGACAACAACACAGTAATGGGAGGGGGTGGACTTTCACATCAATGGAAAGGTCATTCAGATGGAAAATCAATAAGGAAATAGTAGTCTTAAATAAAAATTGAATGAGATGGACATAATAGTTATTTACAGAACATTCCATCCCCAATGTCACTACACATTCTTCTCAAGTGTTCTTGGAACATTCTCATAGATAAACTATATGTGGGAACACAAAATAAATTTCAATATATTTATGAAGATTGAAATCATATCAAGTGTCTTTTGGATAATAATGGTATGAAACTAGAAGAAAGAGGAAGACCCATATATTTGTGTAGAAGAAACAGCCTGATACTGAACAATTATATCAATAAGAAAATCAAAGGTGAAATAATGATGCCTTGGGATGAATGAAAATGAAGACATGACATCAGGACCTATGGAAGGCAGAAGAGGATGCTTATAGTAGACTTCTATAAATAATCTATAAATAAGCTTCTGGTAAATTTCCTGAGGGAACCAGGGAACTAGGTTCTGAGGGAACCAGGAGAGTCACAAGTAAAATATCTAAACTCACACCTAAATGAACTAGAGAAAGAAGAGAAACAAAGCCAAAAGTAAGTAGATGGAAGGAAATAATAAAAACAAGAGCATAAATTAGTGAAGTAGAGATCAAAAAGAAAATCCAGTAGATCAGTAAACCAAGATTTTTTGAATTGAGTAATAAAATAGACATGCTTTTAGCCAGACTCACAAAAATATTAAACACAAATAAATAAAATCAGAAAGGAAAGAGGTTTTACAACAGATATTAGAGAAATAAAAGCATCCTAAGAGAGTACTATGAATAATTACATAACAATAAATTAGGTATCATAGAAGAAATACACACATTATTAGAAATATCTCACATTCCAAGACTGGATGAGGAAGAAATGGATTACCTGAAGACATCCATCATGAGTAAGGTAACGGAAACTGTAATTAAAAATCTCCTAAATAACAACAGCTCAGGACCAGATGGCTTCATTAGCGAATTCTGCCAAACATTGAAAGATTTAATGCCTACTGTTCTCAAGCTCTTCTGTAAATAGTAAGGGTGGGTGAACTTCTAACTATGTTCTGTGAAGCTAATGTCATTATCCTGATCCTGAAATAGGACAAGGACATCATAAGAAAGAAAACTTTAAATCTGTATCTCTGATGAATACAAATACAAAAGTCCTCAACAATAGTAACAAACTTAAATTTAACAGTATAGTAAAGGAATCATATACTGTGATCAAATAGAATTTATTTCTTCAACATATGCATATCGATAAACATGATATAGCATATCAACAAAAGAAAGGGCATATTAATATGATAATCTCAATAAATTCAGAAAATGCTTTTGAGATGATTCAACATTCTTTTATGATAAACACCCATAAATAATGGGAACAGAAAGAAAGTACCTCAACATAACAGAGGCTATATATGACAATCTGTAGTCAGCATCATACTGAGTGACTTAAAACTGAAAGTTTTTCCTCTTAATATCAGGAGCATGTCAAGGATGTCCACTCTCACCACAGCTAATCAATTTAGTGTTGTAAGTCCTAGCAAAGAGCAATTTGATTAGCAAAGAATGTAAATATTAATTCAAACTGGAAAGAAGGAGTAAAACTATCACTGTTTGTGGTGGCTTGGCAATATACATAGAAAATCCTGAGTACTTTAGTGAAAAGCTATTAAATAATAAATGAGTATAATAAAATATCAGGCTACAAAAATTTGTTATGTGCTATGTGTAAATCAGAGATAGCAGAAATAGAAGTTAGGCAAGCTATACCATTTATAATTGTATTAAAAATTTAAATATCTTGAAATAAATCTAACCAAAGAAGTGAAAGGCATGTATGCTGAAAAGTGTAAGACAATACTGAAGAAGGCACAAAGAGATGGAAAGGTATTCTGTGTTCATGAATTGAAAGAATTAATGTCATTTATAAATGATTATATTATTTAAAGTAACAGATTGATTGTGCTCCCAGGCTCACATCCCAGTATCATAGAACAAAATGTCATTAATTCTATCTATTTGGAACAATGAACAATCCCCAATAGCAAAATCACTTCTGAGATACAAAGATTAAAACATACACAACACTCCCAATTTCACTGTATTACAAAGCAGCAGTAATTAAAACAGCTTCACAACTGAAATAAAAACAGGCACACATCAGTGAAACAGAAATAAGGCCCAGAAATAAAACAAATATATATGGACAACTAATTTATGACAAAGGAGTAAAGAGTGGAGGAAGGAAAGTCTCTTCAATAAATGATAGGGGAAAACTGGACAGCCATCTAAACAAGTGAATACTAATATTACATATAACATTTATAAAAATGGGTTAAACTCTTGAATGTAAGGCCTGAAACCATAAAATATATAGAAGAAAATAGGCAATACACATCACCCTTAGAGATACCTTTCGTGACACCTACTCTAATGGCAGTGGAAACTTAAAGTAAAACTGAACAAATGGGACTAAAAGCTCTGTACAGTGAAAGAAACTTGCATAAAATTGAAAAGACTTCCCACTGAATGGGTGAAGATAGTTTCACTTCAAGAGATTAATATCCAAAATGTACAAAGAACTCATAAAAACTCAGTAATTAAAAAAATGAACAGCACAGTTTAAGAATGGGCAAGGATCTGAAATG